ACGGAATATGATGCATATAGATTAATATATATCATAGCTATTACGATATATGACTCACTGGTTACTGATGCTGCAATGCTAGGGTACTGGTCAAGCGGTCTTTGTATAGCCTGACCAATCAGTAGCTGGTCCTTTGTGTTGACTGACCAATCAACTTCCTCGAGTCAGGCCCCTATTCTGGATATGTACAACTGACCAGGCCTACCGCGGGATGTACAAATGGGTTGCTTGTCTGTTACAGCATGTAACAATATTGATTGATTAATCAATCAATATTGTTTTACCCGTACCTTGGTGTTGGTTTTTTTTGTCGACATAAACCTGGTTTCTATACATAAACCTTAAATGTTATTGAGGATACATTAACATAAGGATAAACTGTTGATCCATTACAAGTAGGACTGTATAACTGAAGTGTTGGATATACATACCTGCCTTGAATATCCTTACATAATAATGAGAGAAGAATATTTAAAACATAAATCATAAACTTTGAAATGGTTACAAAAGTAAACATGCATGTGTCATACAACCTTCAGGTGTCCTTGCAATTTAAATTCATTATTCATGTTTGAATTTTTGCCAAAGTTAAGCTCCTTTTTAAACTGTCAACACAACTGAAATTATTTCACAATTGAGCTCAAAATGTTTTGAAAAATTGTAAAAATTCTGTCACAAGTCATTATCATCTGATATTTCTTATGTTCTAGAACAATTAAAATATTCCTTGACATGAGATCTTCATAGGCGAAGTGGTACAGTTAAAGTCAGTGACTTTTACAGAGAGAATCATTAGCATATTTATTTGATGAACATTTTTTTTTTTTAGACATATTATCAAGTTTTATTTCATCTTTTTCATGCTTACAAGTTTTAACCGACTTTAATTGACATGAAGTAAGCGTGTTGCTGAAAGTGTGAGTTGGAACAGGGAGACATTTAGTGCATGTTATAGGTGGTACACCATGTTGAAACAGGGAGACATTTAGTGCATGTTATAGGTGGTACACCATGTTGAAACAGGGAGACATTTAGTGCATGTTATAGGTGGTACACCATGTTGAAACAGGGAGACATTTAGTGCATGTTATAGGTGGTACACCATGTTGAAACAGGGAGACATTTAGTGCATGTTATAGGTGGTACACCATGTTGAAACAGGGAGACATTTAGTGCATGTTATAGGTGGTACACCATGTTGAAACAGGGAGACATTTAGTGCATGTTATAGGTGGTACACCATGTTGAAACAGGGAGACATTTAGTGCATGTTATAGGTGGTACACCATGTTGAAACAGGGAGACATTTAGTGCATGTTATAGGTGGTACACCATGTTGAAACAGGGAGACATTTAGTGCATGTTATAGGTGGTACACCATGTTGAAACAGGGAGACATTTAGTACATGTTATAGGTGGTACACTAGGTATATGTTTATTGTTTACTGGAATGGAGTAGAGTTTTCCTGGTTTTTGTTCTGGTGGTGTGCCAGACATCCTGATGTAGTAGCCTAACAGTTGTTGGTTCCTCTTCCTGTACTATCCCTCTGCAGTGTAAGTTTGAGTGGATCTTGTATTCTGCCTGTAACACACATACAGACATGTATGCATGTTATGCCCATTGTCATCACTCTGGCAGCCATGTTTCTTGACACTTGTTCCTTCACGGTCATCTAGGCTTTGTTGAGATATCTTTGCCTACAATGTAACTGCCTAATGTAAGTGAATGGTACAAAAACCAGAACAATTCTATCACTTAAGCAGTTTATATAAAGATATAACTTAAGATACATGGTCAGCAGATGAACAATTGAAACCTATATAGATGTTATTTGAGGAGATGAGTTGACCTTTCTGTTTGTAGGGTCGTCGGTGACATTAGGGCAGATTGTTATTAAATGACTGTCAAATGCACATTCTGCACAAAAATATTAAGTTACCAGAGATTAACAAGGATTTGCCCTGAATCATTTGGAGACACTGTAAGATATGTCAGATTACAACCAGCACCTGCAACATATTGCGTCTGTCCTCTCAGACAATTTGGCCACACAAGCTGATGCTGATGCATGACACTACCAGGCTTGGCAATAGCTGCAAAGTGTCATGTCAGATTTTTTAACACTATAATGATATAGATCACATGGTTTGACAATTCCACGAGACATTGCTATATATGTCAAATTCTCCACACAGCTGGAGGTGTCAGTTTAGTCCATATATGCAGTGAAACTGCAAAAATTAAATCATGTCAAATATATCTTGTTGGTGTTTATTTCCTTTTATGTGGAAAATTTTCCTCTAAATTGTTCCGTCGAGCAATATGATATATTACAGGTTTCAGTGGCGGACCCAGGGGTGTTTGCCCTAGTTACCCAGGCAACACTCTTTTTTCTGTATCCAAAAATAATCTGGACTTAAGTTTTTGAAGATTTTCCTCTTTTTCATATGGGATTTTCTTCTAATGTCAACCATCTTGTGAACTATAATTTTCTATGGCAAGCAGCAGTTTGAATATCTATATATGTCTAAGGGTGCAGTTGCCCAAACAAGGAGTCCACTACTTATACTCTAAACAGGTCAGTGGTGAAGGCTCAACGGACTGTCTACCTAATCGTATTGTTCTAATGTCACGGTGTGGTCATCACCCTGTGCGTTGAGAGAGGATAAAACCATCTGTTGGAATTAGGTATACATGTACATGTATATGTTAATTGTTATTTCAAAAGTAGAGTCCATTTCATGATAGATAAACCTGTATTTTCACCTGTGGTTTCATGTACACATGATCACCAGGAGTGATTTTATTATACCTGTTAAAAAATGTAAATTTCAAAAATTTCAAAGACAATAAAGCATCTACCTTAGCATCAAGTTATCAGGTGAATATAATAACCAATGATAGCATAAAAGCCTGGCATGTATATATATATATCCTTTTTAACAGGTGTTGCCCTTGTACATATGCATGCATACAAATTCACAATAAAAGACACAGTCAAATCATAATTCATATTTATGACAAAATAAATCAATATTTAATTGCCAAAATGCTCGCCTAAACTACATGCACATGAAAGGCATGACACAAACATAAACATTTTAACCAAAAACCTACTTTTTTACCATTGTTTCAGAGAATTTGTTAACACTCGCTCCGCTTGGCCATCATAAAATATAAATACTCTATGTTATAAAATAACCTGGAATAATACCGCAAACTCACATGTACAACCAACATGACAATTATAATTTATTAGTTTTTTGAGTCTTTTTCTGAGTTTAAAATTTTGGGCAAACACCAAAAATTAATTCCTGGGTCTGCCCCTGGGTTTTCTGATCTCTCTGTTTACTGTATGGCCGTTCTGCTGTCTGTTTACAATGTAGGCTCTGTCGGCTCTGTGTTTACTGCGCTCAGTCTATGCTCTGTGCCGGTACAGTTCTCTATATACACTAATAGTATCCAGGTTTAGATATACAAATGGGTATACAATATATATCCGTCTAACTTTCTGACCAACGCATTACCATTGTGTATTAGAAAATATCCTCCGATACGATTAAGCGGTCGAGTGAACAGGTATGTAAATGACCTGAGGCAGTCGCGACGACTGAACCGCAGTGTTGAGATGAGCGTTAGCTGGTGGTAGGCACCTATACTATAAGTATGCCTGAAAGCCAACATGTACAAATTCATTCAAGTTTTATCGATGATATTTGTGTAAAAAATAAAACTTAGTACAATAACTATATTATCAAGAGACATGTAATCTGAGTATGAAATAATGAAAAATCCATTATCTTTATGGATAGCTTGGAATATTACTGATTATATGTTATGGTGAAGATGCGTAAGCTTTTTGTATAATCTGGGTCACACGTTATAATATTTAGAAATATGGACTAGATATTTATATGAAATTATCGCTTTGATTCATTGAAGTTATAATAATTAAAGCCTTGCCCACGGACATAAACCGAACGTCTGAGAAAGAGGCTTTCTGACTCAACGTCAGTTATAACTAAGTAGTTCTAAGATTACATGTTGAACAGGTCTTGTGCAACATGACTAGGGGGGAGATTTTATTATATTAGTACAAGTAATCTAAGTGTATCAACACAATGGCTTGAACGAGACTGATCCAACACCCGATTTAGTATGCATAGACGTCCATTACATCAGAAGTGTGGATCTATTCCATCGACACAATTGGTTTATTGGCTTATAGTAGAGGAAGGCAGCAGACAAATCACTGTAAATGGATTATAATGATAAGATAAGGAACTGCTGGATAGGGAATATCCCTCCTATATCTGTATAAGACTGTTAATAGTTTATCTGTATATTCATATCCAGCAGATTTGCTGATAATTGATAGATACCATGGAATCTTGATGGTGTACATGACTAAATAAGTTGTGTATATGTTCCCTCCCCACCACCACCTCCATGAACTATTTCTCCTTCGAATTCCCCCTTCCTTAATTCACACACTAAAAATCAAATACTTTCACTGATTATAACAGAAATGGCCATAAATCAATTCTGTCAACATGAGTACCTGTTAATTTGAATTGACCTTGGAGTAGCAGACTTTGAATATTGTTTCAAAATATACCAGAATACATGTGATCGCTGATGATTTTACTCGGCCAGCTTTAAAGGTCATTACATGTTTCCACTGAATGGCAACAAGATCCACAATCCTGTCATTAACATCTTGATGTCCGGGAATCATAGGGAGAACACAATTGTCTACACGCATGTAGCAAGAAGGAAGAGACAAATAATTTGATATTGTTTGTAACATGCTTTTGCATTGGTTTGTGTTTACATTCGCAGTTTATATAGAGTGCACATCAGTTTTTGGCCTATACTAATTATTATCTAGTGCCGGCTATCCTTAATTTCATTAATGATCTCTTACAGCAGATTTTGACAAATTCTTGCTAAAATTGGTCTGATGTATTATAAAACCTTTTAATTTTATATTTTGCAGTACGGCGGAGGAATTCTGTAACGGGGAAGGACATCAAGGTTGTGACTGAAAGTGATGTAAGTAGCCACATCATTTCACAGGGAGGACCTAGTGGGGTATATGTAACCATGTATAGAGTTAACAGTCAAACAGGGTAACTGTTTCTGTTGGGTACCAGTCCAATAGAAATGCATACATGTCGCATGATATCCTCAGGAATGGGCCGGACATGTCCTATCATTGGCCAGACAGGATCAATCACAGTAGTCTAATGTATGCAGGTGACTTCAGAATGGGGCCAAACAATATCGTACGGGTTCTTAGGGAAGGGATACATGTTGACATACAGGGTCGTTGTAACCATGGATACAGGTTCTCTAGATGGGGTCAAACAAGATCCTTGTAACCATGCACACTCTCTGGTCCATACCGTAATCATTTATTGTTCTAAATGCATAGAATCTAGCTCACCTGTTAAAAGGGCAAGTGAGCTTGAGGTTATGCTGTGGTATATTGTCCATAGTCTGTTTGTTAACTGTGAATTTAAATGGCTTAAGTTTCTGACCAGCCAATTTACCATTATACCTGATTGGTGATTTATAACCTTTTCAATGTAGGTATCTGCCAGTTTTTCAGGGTTTTTGACATTTGTTTTTTAAGGAGATTATCTGATTGTTCTTATCGTGATCTTGAATCGTGATAAGAAATTCTCCTAAATAGTTTGAATACATGTATAAGAGGTAAGACAAAAAACAAACAGAGGTATAGGCCCTTGGGCACAACACCTGTATGTGCACACATAATGGTTAGATTTAAATATTTAAAGTTCTATCAAAAGAGTTGTGAATTCTAACTATTTAATCACTGAGGTATCAATGGAGTCTTGCATCCATCTTGACATGAACATGTCCTGATTATCAACTGATTAAGGTCACCTATAATTACATATACAGTCCCTCGTAAATCATCCTATCACCTGTCAATCATCTCTCCCTTTGATCCAAGTTTTCATCGTAGAGTATCTGTGGTAATTCAGAATGCTGATTAGCAAATTTGGAAAGTAATTCAGTTTCAAATGTGAAAATCTTCACTGGTATATATGTAGAACTAATTAATAAAGGAGGCACGGTAGTCTAGTGGTAGGACGTCAGGCCCCTGACCAAAGGGTTAAGAGTTCGAGTCACGCCACGGCACTGTGTTGTATGTTTGAGCAAGATACTTTACTCCGCTTGTTCCAGTCTACTCAGCTGTAAATGGGTACGTGGTTGGGCAGTGCTAGAATTGTTGAATGCTAGCTATAGCTGTCAGCGCCGAAATGGCAGCACCGGCTGTGTGCTCCCCTGCAGGGAGTTGAGAAAAACACAGATATTGGCTGGTTGCAAAGGCCCTATAACCACAGATAATAATTTGTAAACCGCTTTGAGATGACCTACGTACTAGGTTGTGATAAAGCGGTATATAAGAACTTCGATTTATTATTATAATTATTATAAAAAAATAATGTATCTATAAACATAGCTTCATACACTGTACTTTACGGTTTTGTTAAAGACACTTTTGGAAACATTTCCCACAGGACACGGTGTAATTAGTATCATGATGTTTACTAGATTGAAATATTAGTTAGAGATATATAAGTCCATACTGCGGCTAATTCTGTTGCCAGATATTCACCAGCTGGCTTGCACTGTCGATCCCCATCTGTGGCATTGTGAAATTTTAATACAATTGGAGATTTCAAATTGTTATTGGCAAAATTTTCTACACATTCTTTCTTTTATGACCAGTTCAGCCCTGTTTACTTCAGTTTTATATTAATAAGCGTAGAATTATAGCTAGTTTACTTTATTGAAGCTTTTGAGAACAGAACCAACTATTGTTTATCAGGGCTTGAAGACACCATATAGCAGTATGCATTCCTCAGAGCCTGGCTATTGTACAATTATATAGTATATAATGTAACTATGGATGTAGGTCAAATCTGGTGGAAATATAATTAGATCACTGTGGACACTTGGCATGATTTATATTAATTATCCTATGGAAAATGTTTTTCTTACGTCAGTTTTTATTTTAGCTAAATTCCATGGCATAGAACATGACTTGCTGTATTTTACGTAATAAGAACTCTGGACACATCAATTTGGGAACTTCAAATAATCTAGTCCCCCCCCCCAAAAAAGCTAAAAAATGACCATAGTACACTTTTCGAAAAAAATGTGTAAATAACGATGAATATATTCGAGGCTTAGAACAGAAAAAGGATAGGGTTGTTGTAATTAAAAATAGGGTACTTATTATGTCGAACACGGTACACTTATATATTACTGAAGAATGTAGAACTTGGGATCATTATACCATTTTAACATTCAAACGCTGTCAAAACAACATGATAGATAAAAAGATCTCCTATTACAGTCTGGATAGCTGTCAAATACATAATTAACACCATTTCCAGTGCCAAACTGGTTCCGTCTTTTGAATTGATTATTTGACATGTTATTTTTATACAGTACAGATCTTTGAAACAGTCTAAAAAAAGTTGCTATAAATAAAAAAACCCAGATCAAATCTAAAGAAAAATTGACAATCATCTGCATGGAAAAGTTATCTTTACCTAAAAGTGTAAAATGAAAAGTTGGTCCCTTTATATATCGTGATGTACAGTGTGTACAAACCTGCGAAAAAAATGTCATACAGGCAATTATGGAAATTTCATATGGCCTCAGGTGAAATTTAGAATGCTCTTATTCAAATGAAGAGATGTACATTTTGTTATGTCAAATCAGGTCAAGATATTCATATGACAGTCAGACGGTATGCATTCATAATTATTACAGCAACAACAGGTATATCATGTAATGAAATGTGACGACAGGTGACATCTTCATGTTAAAAGGAAATTTCCTATTTTTCAATTTAAAAGTGAGACATTGTTATATGGCTTGTTGATTGTGTTTAAAGTGCATTATAAATCAAAGTGAAGTGTTGAAAAAAACAATTACAGCGTTCTGTTGTACATCATATACCAGCTATTTGATATATACAAGGAGTACCATGTAAAGTGTGGGAAAATGGAGCAAGACAAGATAACAAATAATTAAACCTGCATCATCTACCCTGGCTGTAATTACAGTAGGGTATATTACGTAATGGCATGTTGTTAACCGAACAGAAAGTAGGATGGGAATATAGACATTTTTATATATACAAAAGTAATTTACAGAATGCACTTAAATTATATACATACATAAAATTGGTTAATTGACAATTATAGGAGACATTGCATTTCGCACTACTGTTTCGCTTGAATATTTTCAACATATTCATTCTGCCAGTGGATACTATAAGCTGGACAAGGGAAAACATTTTTGTTGAAATTGTTTATACGTGTAAACTGAAAAATAAAATTATGTTTCTGTATCAAGGAATTTATATAAGATCCTATTTTGCTTCCAAACAGTATTTTTTCCAGTCTATAGCAGTTATTTTCAAAATCAAGTTGACAAAGTTGGATTTCATGATTATTAATACAGTGGAACCCGCTTATTATGATATTCTATTTGCCAGAGAAAAATATCATAATAACTGATCGAGCTGTTTTCGATCTTTTTAATGTTGTCTGAACCGGAAGTGAGATGCCCTACATTAATCAGACATAGATTGATGTGGAAACATGTGAATATATATATATATATATACAAACTGCTAAAGTAAGAATTTAAATAATTTGTTCATTGTTGTTTAAGTCAACGTGTTGGAAAAATTTGAAAAGATTTGTTTTGCCGGCGTTATGATCAGTATGTAAATTCTACTTTCACTTTCAAATAACTTTGAGCATATTCCTGTACTATTGATACCTTTTCCCAAAGTGTAAATTCATTAATAATCATATAATCACATCAAGATACATCTCAACTGTTTGTATGCACGCTGTATACTTCAAAAGTTTTTTCACAAGGTTTTTACCTTTTATTCCCTATTTCTCCATGAAAAATGCATCCTTCAAAATAACGAAAAACCAACCTTCATTTGATTATTTACCCTACAACTTTGAGACATGGCTGCTAGATGTGAAATCTGCAAATAATTGATCCAATGAAATGTAGGTTTTTAGTCAATCTGTAAAAATCAGAGACAATGAAAAAAAGAGACTTTAACAAAAAAGCTTTGTCAAGATATTGTCAAGATATTTTTTAGAAAGCTTATACATGTACATTGTATATGTAGTATCACTGAAAAAAATAACTGAAAAATAGACATGTTTACAATATTTTGGGAAAATGTTTTCAATTTTAAATAGAAAATTGGCAAAAAACATGACAATTGTACAATTTCATCTTGATTGTGTATATTTGTTGTTTCTGTTGCAGGCTGTACAAGGACTTGGACTGGTTATCTATCAGGCCCTTGACTATGGAATGGGTGCCGCTGAGGAACGGCACCTCAGCCTTGAACTGGAAAGTCTGGTGGAATTTATGACAAATCCTGACGGGGATGAAGAAGATGCGTCCACGGCTGACGATGAGGGCATCGAGAAGGATGCGAAGGAAAGCGGTCTGTTCCCGGACGTTCTCGCGGTAAGTCCAGATAGCTATAACTACATGCTGTATAATGTGAAAAATTCATGTGTACAGTTGAGCCTCGTCAGCCACCACTTATTCAGGTTTCCCAGTTTTAAGAATAAGTTTGGCTTTTTCTTTACAGAATTGTTCAATAAATCCAGCTGTCTTGATCAAGCCTCTATTGCTTAGAACAGAGGTGGCTGAAATATTGAGGCTCCACTGTACTGGGGTTTTTTGGTGCAGATTTTCAAGTATTTCACTTGTTTAATTTTTTACAGCTAGCTTTTACTGGTGATAGTACTATTTAGAACAGTGATCAAAAGCCTGGTCTATACAAGTCATACCAAGTATGAAATAATGTAAATGTGTCCTTACTCCTAGCTTGATTGACCTCTTCTAGAACTAATATTTTACCCCTTGAAGGGTAATGTTTTTATCATAAATATTATTGTCTCCAAAATGTCGGGGAAAATCTAGCAAATAAAAAGTATAAACACACCAACCAGAAGAGAAAAAATGATAGATAAAATACCTACAGATGAAGATAGAAGATATTGTTAGCTACTATGTATTGGGCCTGTATACAGTTTGACACCTGTGTGCTAATACACCTCAGGGACAGAATTATGTATCGTCTAGACCGCATCTATCAATACAAAAGTTTAATATAGCAATCATACTTTTTATGTCCCTCCATCCATGGATCAGCAACCTTCCCATTAATGTCAATAGTTAAGTTTTTATGTAAGCTCATAACAGCTTTATTTGCAGGTGGACAAGCAATTCATAACTTTGATGTCCTAGCTCCTGTTGTAGAGTTATGGGTCGTGACTCTAACCATGTACAAACGTTAGTGTACAGTTAGGGGTCAGATCAGCCTCTGTTGTATCATTAAGGGCCGTGACTCTAACCATGTACAAACGTTAGTGTACAGTTAGGGGTCAGATCGGCTTCTGTTGTATCGTTAGGGTCACAACTTTCACCATGTACAAACGTTTGGTCATCATGTCTCGGGTAATTTCGGGTTAGGGCTCTTTTAATTTAAAAGTAACTGGTATTAGTTGGGTTATAAGTCAGAACACTTACCATGTAAATAACTTTGGTTTTAGTTGGGTTATATGTCAGAACATTTACCATGTAAATAACTTTGGTATTAGTTGGGTTATAAGTCAGAACACTTTCCATGTAAATAACTTTGGTTTTAGTTGGGTTATAAGTCAGAACACTTACCATGTAAATAACTTTGGTTTTAGTTGGGTTATAAGTCAGAACACTTACCATGTAAATAACTTTGGTTTTAGTTGGGTTATAAGTCAGAACACTTACCATGTAAATAACTTTGGTATTAGTTGTGTTATAAGTCTGAATACTTACCATGTACATAACTTTGTTATTAGTTGGGTTATAAGTCAGAACACTTACCATGTATATAACTTTGGTTTTATAGTGTACATGTTCAGTTGGGGAACAGAACTGAGACTTGCCCAAGACAGACTGAAGTCCTGTCAGTATAGCTACAGATTGCAACTCTTCTTAAGGTTAAACTTAGTCTTTAACTCGTTCACCCCTGAAGACACATTTAAACTCTTCCAATTCAAAGGTTAGAAAAGTTCATTATGTAATTTCAGGGGTGGATGAGTGCAGTGTAAAAATAGGGATTAGAACTCTTAACGATGGACTTAGCATGTACAAACTTTGGTCTCTCCTACAGATTCTAGTTATAGGGGTCATAACCCTTAGTATCATGAAAATCATGCATCCGTACATGTACAATGATGGTGTAGTTATACACAACCTCATGATAACCTGCAGCTCATAAAGTTCTGTAATTGTCTATATAAAAAAAAAATGTATATATATCTGAAGCTGTCGGTAGGTATCTTACCTGATGTTATCAGAACAGATGATAATGTGATACTTTTGATTTTACCAATGTAAATATCTAACATGAACTGCTTTCCTTTGATTTCAATGTTCAATAGGCCATGCTAACAGGCTCTGTGTGATTTGATTTGGCTTAGCTGTCATGTTTGACAACAAAGGTTGGCTCTTAAATTGTGAGGGTAAAACTTATAGGGTGACTGTTAGTGTTACCAATATGTGCCTGGAGCCAGAATTATCCACAAGGTCAGTCCTGTTTTTTAGCCCAGAAAAATAAATCTTTTAAAGTGTTCTACTTGTGATAGGGACACGGGGACACACCACAAGTGCCCAATCTACCTATTACATGTCCACAAACACCGTGTGTCTTTTCATTTTGTGTTTTTATTGCTGAAGGGTAGGATCAATTAGGTTTTAGATTGGTGACATTAACACCCGCTGACAGACATAATATCCTTACTATTCATACTAATAGATACAAATAGGGTACACTCTCCCGGGAAGCAGAAACAAGTCGTGTTACTTAAACAAACTTTACACCAGTTAAGGACATTTTGTATTTGAAGTGTCAATAAGTCTGTATTTCTTCAATCCGGAACAATTTGACACCATACCTACAAATTAGATCTGATTAGATGTAATCAGGGTTACAGGTATAACATGAAAACCCTTTTAGCAGACAGCTTAATCATATGTTTGGTTATGGATCAACAAAATCATCCCTGATGTATTTTTATATAATTTTCTCTCCAGACCATTTGATGTTCAACACATGTAATGCACAGAGAATATGTATTTGAATACAGAATAGCTTTGAAGTGTCGGACTAACTGGCATTTCAGAAGCCGTGACAACAACATTGATTTTCCTGTTATGTTCCGAAAGCGAAAACATATTTCTGTGAAGAGCTATGTTGTTAGAACGCGTGTAAGAGCCTGAACTGAGCTTAGCATAGTATCTTTAAATATAGGATATCAGATTTGAAAATCTGTGAGTGGTATTGAATATTACCCTTAGATGAACTCTTAGATGAAACTCCTATGCTTCAAAAAGCAGAGTTTGAAAATATGAATAAAAGATGTATGGTTACATATAAGGATACCTGTACTGCTAGTAATGGTATGTTGATGTTGATAGTTGCATATACCGGTAGTTGTTATAAACATTTTCTGGTTTTATTGATTTAGTGAAATATTTGAATGAAGTTGCATATGATTAAAGATTCAAATACAATTGATCAGGTTAGGATAGTTATGTATCAACTCAACACTATAGTCATTAGTGACAAAGGTCAAAAGTTAGTTACATGTTAACTGGTACAACAGTGACAGTTGTAGATGCAGGTTAGACATGTACTAGCTGGTACAACAGATACAGGTTAGTCATGTACTAACTGGTACAACAGTGACAGTTATAAATACAGGTTAGTCATGTGCTAACTGGTACAACAGTGACAGTTGTAGATACAAGTTAGTCATGTACTAACTGGTACACCAGTGACCGTTGTAAATACAGGTTAGTCATGTACTAACTGTAGTTAGTACACCAGTGACAGTTGTAGATACAGGTTAGTCATGTACTAACTGGTACACCAGTGGCAGTTGTAGATACAGGTTAGTCATGTACTAACTGGTACTTCACTACCAATCATGGACACCAAGAAGTTATAGAGAGTCATGTACTACTTAGATAATTATACTGGTGCAGGGGTAACTCTAGCTTATGTCTGGACTCGGGTTAGGTTAATACACTAACTCAGGAACACCAGAGGAAATTCTAGCTGATGTGTAGACCTAGCATAGCTAATGTCTGGACACAGGTTAAGTTAATGCTATATATCAGGTACACCAGAGGTAAACCTAGCTGGTGGCTGGACACAGGTTAAGTTAATGCACTAACTCAGGTACACCAGAGGTAACCCTAGTTAATGTCTGGACACAGGTTAAGGTAATGCTATAACTCAGGTACACCAGAGGTAACCCTAGTTAATGTCCGGACACAGGTTAAGTTAATGCACTAACTCAGGTACACCAGAGGTAACCATAGCTGATGCCTGGACACAGGTTAAGTTAATGCACTAACTCAGGTACACCAGAGGTAACCCTAGTTAATGGCATGGACACAGGTTAAGTTAATGCACTAACTCAGGTACAACAAAGGTAACTCTAGTTAATGCCTGGACACAGGTTAAGTTAATGCACTAACTCAGGTACACCAGAGGTAACCCTAGTTAATGGCATGGACACAGGTTAAGTTAATGCACTAACTCAGGTACACCAGAGGTAACCCTAGTTAATGGGTGGACACAGGTTAAGTTAATGCACTGACCAGGTACAACAAAGGTAACTAGCTGATGTCTGGACACAGGTTAAGTTAGTGCACTGACTCGGGTACAACAAAGGTAACTAGCTGATGTCTGGACACAGGTTAACAATCTTTGCTACAGTAACAGCTTTGTTGACTTGCAGTGTTTAGAATGGAATTCCAGATTTATAATGGTGTAGATCATGAGGATCAAGATTGGATGTCTAATGTGATACTTGGTAATGACTCTGGGTTATACCTGCTCCTTTGTTGAGCTAAGGACTGCCACTAGCTAAGGTCACGGAGAGAATGTGATACACCCTCTTGTATCAGCTTACGAACATATTTATCACACTTTAATTTGCTGGTGTAAAATTTCAAGATATTAAATTAATGTAAACCCCACAAGTGCCATGTGTTGTATGGTTATAAGCACTTTTAAAAGTGTCTGCTGACAAATACAAGCAGGAAACACAATTTTGACCCTTATAGATGAAAAATTGTACAATAAAAGTACAATAAAAATGTCACCAGAATTATATGTTTTCGGATATTATGCAGTGTACATGTGTATATAATGGTGTTAAATATCTGGATTTTCTGGTACGATTTATTTTTTAACCTGAGAGGTGTGAGATTGTTCAATAATAAATGTCATCTAAAGTGTTTTAAGATTATGATATCAACAGCAGAAAATGATGAGTTCCTTTCAAAGTAAGCTAAAACTATGTTATAAAATAATTTCCCTCTTAACTCATTCACCCCTGAGATTTCATAATGAACTATTCCAACCTCTGAATTCGAAGAGTTCAAATGTGTCTTCAGGGGTG